TTCGCGGTACTATACTCTTGAAAAGCATAGCAACTATATATATATATGTATGTGTGTGTGTGAATAAAATAGTTATATTTACTACACGCTTACTCCGTTTAGAGAATCGTCTTGAGGTACATTGAGACTTTGTGAGGAATTTACGTGACTGACATGTTAGATCGCTGTGCTGTGCTCGGCTTTTACAACGAAACATCGAACGATCATGCGTTCCTCTTAATCGGCGATGTGTTCTCGCTTGTTGGTAGAGAAAATATAAGTGGGAGATGCACTGCGTATATAATACATACTACTACTGGGAGGAGTACTTACACCTCGCGAGATTGGCGATGGCATGCACAGGTCTGCACGGGATACCACGGAAAAGAACATATCAAAAAGAAACCGCATTAACGAACGGCAAATTCTACAGTACACAGTAAACATTAGTATAGTATATAAGTATAGTACACATAGCGATACACATTACTAATTCTACAAGCGCTGTTATTTGAAGAGAATGGTTTATTTTATATATCCTATGATTATCTCTCAGTTGCATCGTTATCATAAATGGAGGTCTGAATATAACAAAGTTAATCTAGCTCAACCGAAATATTTTTTGTGCACGTATGTATACAGAGTAAAAAATACGGGAGGGATTAATTTATTACCTAAAATTATGCTAAAATACGTATTGTATGCAGATAAAGTGGTGGAAATTAATTGTTTTCTTAAGTAATGAACGTGGTGTGTAAAGAAAATCTTTAATTAAAAATAATAGAAGCACGATATGCTGTTGATAACAATTAATAATAATACATAATAACAATAAGAAAAACAATATCGGAGAGATATACATATACAGTGGAACCTATTGTATGTCATTATGTTATAGCGCATTATTTCTCATTTACAATTTTTCCAAAGTAATATAAACAATTTACTAGAAACAAAAGAGAAGCCACGCGAAAGATTTTACTGTATAATATATATAATATATATACATATACATAATATGTATAATAGACAAGAAACATATTTCGTGTGCTCCAATAAATATTGTAAATTAAATATTATACAATTATTAATTAATTACATCGTTCTGCATTCATTGAAAATTATAACAAATAAAAAAATATAAGAAATAATAATATACATATGATTTTTAAATTAATATAAGTAAATAAATAATAAATTTTTTTTTCGAGCCAAAAATATAAATATTTCAGTTTACGCAGAAATGCGTTGGATGAATGATTCATAGGATATGTCTATATGGATATCGTTGATTATATCATACAAGACTTATCGCGTGCTAATATATCATGTTGTACTCGAAAGAGAGGAATGTATGCGAGGAAGATGTAATAATCGTATAAAGTTGAAACGCTTACTAGCTTGGCACTTTAGGAATATACGGGATGGACGCATTGTTCAGGAATATGAAAGTTGAAGTGTAGCGGATGATGCATGCTCGGAACGGTGCGTAAACCACGAGCCACGTGCTACAAACGGAAATACTCTCAACCTATTGCGCCTTCGTCGCGGAAAGATCAAGGTCCAATATCGACTCAACCATCGCTTCGTCGACCTCGACCTCCTGTTTATAATTCATATTTATCGACTCAATTAAGAGGCAACGATATTAATAAGCGATATGAAACGTTTTGTCTTTTCAATTGCGCTCCAATAAACAATTAATACATAAACTAGCACACAAACAACGAGATGTTATTTTAGGAACATTGTTAATGATATACATGATCAAATCATATATGTTAGATATGATCAGATTAACGATTATTACATACATGCACCTAAATGAACCAAAAAATAAAATTTCGTCCAGGTTAGTCAGACCACCCACGTAAAAAATGTAAATTTATTCTATAAATATATAGGACCTAGAAAGCCATGCATAATAACATGTAATCTCAATCAACGCAATAGAACATATATAATTACTAGAATGGTTCATGCTTTCTTAATAGTATTAGATTCTCTTTGTGATAAACCCTAAACCTTTTATAGATAATCAAAGAAATTAAAATGATAAATAGATAGTCTCTTTGTTTTTCAAACAGCCTAAATTGTCGGTTATAATAATAATAACATAATGCAACTTTCATCTTATACTTTTCCATTTAAATGTTAGAAAGCACCTTTTCTATTATCTAAAATGCAATTTGATATTCCCTATATATTATTCTTTAATAAAAAATAAAATGAAAGCACTTACGAGCTTCTGTAATCCTGATTGTTGAATACATCACCAGGATCGGATGTCCTAATTTCATTCTCTCGGGCTGTCTCCGTCACTGATTTCCAAACCGTATTCATCATTCTGATGACGAGAAACAATTACATATAAGTATGCAAAATATATATCCTGTCTGCATTTAATAGCAGCTGTACTCACGCATTTACTGTAACATCTAATAGCAATACTGCTGTCGGTATTAATATAAGTCCCAGCCAGAAAACAGGCGAAGAAAATAACATTCTATCATTGCCTAACATCACAGCGCCGACGTTCAAGACGGGCCAAAAATTACTACAACAATAAATATATATTAAAAATATATTATTTGCTCTTTTAACATATGTCTAAAAAAATTCTATAGTAATATATTACAGAAAAAAAGATATTTTTTCTTCTCTTACCTATATATAAAAATAAATAAGAACCAGAGTATAATAGATCCCCAGGTTGCTAAATGAGTGACCCATGTCCACGAGTTTATTATTAGACCTGCCTTCGCGCATACTGTTACTACAACATACTAATACAACAACATATAAATAATCTCTCGCTTTCATAAGAACCTCCTCATAAATCTCTCTCGTGGGATTACATAATGTAAAGAATGTTGCATGACACTTACAGTATAAACAAAGTTTCCTAATAGAAGATAACCGCCGTCTCTACCGTTCCCCCAAGCCACATCTTGTTTGAGAGCCATAAGCGGCAACCAATAAAGTAACGCCGAATGAAATAGTGCATTCGTAATCCATATCCAAAATATCTGTATAGATATATGTAAATATATTTTATTTCTTCCTTTTCTTTTGAAAATCTCAATTCTAATTCCGTGTCACAATTCGTATATGAATATGTACTTACTCTAATACTAAGGAACGAGTCGCCATTATTCTTCGTCGCGTATAATGCTGGATGTGCTAAGCGAGTTTCTGCGGAACACACTTTATCGAAGAGACCCATAGCTAATGGAGGCGCAGCGGTAAAAACCTACAAAAAGCGTCAAATCATTGAAAATTAATTTTATTCTTTAGCAAAATAATCGTATGGTTTATGAAACTTACAACGTTATAAAGTCCAATAGACCATCTTTCGAAAAGGATCTGTCCGGACCAGCCGGAATAAATGGCAAACCATAATTCGATAACATATAGACAAATATTCTTGTAGAACGAGTATAAGATTAATTTACACATTCTACTATAATTCCAAGAACCGTGAACGAGTAATAGACGTTTCAGAAAACGAAACTGTGCGATGGAATAATCAGAGGCACAGGCTGCTTGAAGACCTTCGACACCCGAAATACCTACAAGAAACAAAATATCGCGATATTTTAATAAACAAGAATATTTTCGACAAAAACTCTGTAATATGCGCTTAAATATATTTAATATTTACCGACGCCAATGTGAGCTTTCTGTATCATAGCCACATCATTCGCACCATCCCCGATTGCAAGAGTCACACCTTTCTTGTTACTCGTGATTAAACCAACTACCTAAATATAAAAGAAATCAAAACAGCGATATAACCGATTGATTAAGTTTTACTATGCAAGTTTCCAAGTACGAATTAATAGCCTTACCTCAGCTTTTTGTATCGGTGACACTCTACAACAGATAACTACTTTGCAAGCTGAACACAATTCCATAAAATCCATCCTAATGTCACAAGACAGAGCGTAGTCTAACGTACTGCCATCTATAATTAGAGCCACATCGTTTTGGCATTTTAAGTCAATCCCAAAATCAAGACAACGTTGGATGATAACTTCTCTCGTTTTCTATAAGATACGTAAGTTTACATTGCGTCAACTGTAAGACCCACAATTTTGATAAGTTATTCACTTACATCTAAAGAAGATTCGTTGATGACATAAAGAGGCATTCCATGTGTTATTAGCTTGCACGAGTAACCGATATTTATGGCGGTCTCCTGTTTATCTCCCGTCAACACCCAGACATTGATATCAGCTTGTAAAAGAGCCTGTATCGTTTCCGGTACCTACGAAATTATGCGAATTGTAATATTATATATTACAAAAGTATGATATTACAATTGTAAAAATTTATCTTTTTAAAGTTTATCTTTTTAACAAATTGATAAAAGAAAGAGAAAAAGAGATTAAATATATTCCGTACTTCATCTTGCAGTTGATCCTCGATCGCAGTTGCTCCCAATAATGTGAGTTTAGTCTCAATAAGATTCGCAGCCTGCTCTAGCATGTTTTCACGATTTATCATACTAATCGACGCTTTATGATAGGATTCGCACCACCGCTGCCAAGAAAAATTATTAAAAGTTATTAATATATATCGACAATATATATTGACTTGCTTCTCTAAAATGAAGCAGAACTAATCTAACCTGATAAACATTTTCAGGTATTTCCGCGGCAGCAAAACATAGCGTCCGCAATCCTTCGGTAGCAAACATTTCCAAATGTTCTAAAGTCACCTCTCGAAAATCATCTACATGTTCTTGGTCAAGATCGCTAGTTTCTAAAGAAATTGGTGTCAATCTTTCATAGATTACAGAGTCAGCGCCTTTACAAAAAATTTTAATTTTTCCCTCGGGCGTTCTCACAACCACCGACATTCGCTTCCTGGCCGAAGTGAATTCTATTACATTCAGTATTTCGTACCGTAGTATCTCGCCTAGAGCTATGACTTCCACGTAACTGGGCGTCCGTGTATCGAACACGTAATTAAATTTACGTGCTCCGTCCACTAACGCTCTTTCATCTAAAGAAGGAAGAATGTAATGTAAGTTAGATATCCATATACACACTGTCATGTCATCACAAATATGTAGGTAAATGGCATTTACCAGGAGATGCAGCGTGATAAATTATAGAATTATCTATTTTCTCGGGAATAACCGTATGACAAACCGACAACATGACCATAAATTCGTGAAGCACAGTCGCGTGCTCCGCTTTCTTCTTATCAATAAGATTCGAGGAGTCCCGTACAGACCTTCCTTCGACAATATCTTTAATTAATTCACAACTGCTATCGCTCGTGCTTCCATGGTCGTTTGAAGGATTTGGCAATCTATAAAATATTCATTTTCTCGAAGAAAACGTGTATTTAAATGTCAATTACTACAGCAAAGAATTACGTAGCTGGTTAAACTTACTCATATAGTTTTCCACCGACCGAACATCGTTTGAATTCCATAACGTTCTTTGTAAGAGTACCGGTTTTATCCGTGAATACATAATTCACCATTCCGAGTTCCTCGTTTAAATTACTCGTACGAGCCATCGCTGGAGTATCTGTCTCCGCGTGATACATCTCTATATCCATGTTAATAAATGTGGCTTGAACGAATCTTACCACTTCGAGCGTCACTTGCAGCGATATTGGTATTAAATTATTGAAGAGAATAATAAATGTCAAAAGATTAAACGCAAAATTCTTGGTCATTTTCTCTGCAACGAAAAGATAGAGAGATAAATAGAGAATTCAAGTATCTCCGCGAAATGTGCGCGATGAGAGCACGCATGTATGCTTACCTTGTAAACCCAAATACCAGAGGCCGTCTCTATTAGCGTTCGTCCATAAGACGTTGAATATCGCGGAAAGAATGCACAACAGAAGAAGTATGAAAAATAGCATCAGTATCTGCGTGTTGATCAATCGATCGAGGGTGGATCGTTTCAATGGCGCTGTCGCGTTATTATTCTGCATGAGTTTCGTATCGTGCCCCGTGTATATGACTACGCCGAATACCCATCGTGTATTCCGCAACATCGCGCCACGGAGTAACAATTGATCAGGCCCTAAAGTTACGCTCCTGCGAAAGAACAATACCGCTTGTGACGTAACGACACATAAACGTATTGACGCACAACGAGATGCCGACGCTTCAAGACAAGTTGAAAGACGAATAACAAACTGTATGTGATATGAGGAATAAAGCAAGCCTAGATATGGATATAACTTTCGTTAATATCGGAAACAAATAACGAGACGAATTGGCGCAAGGAAAACGTGCAGCGAAACAAAGCGTACGATGTATTTAACACATGTATGTGTTAATGTAAATGATCATATTTATGTTCTTACTGTTTATTGGTCTCTCGTAAAACTCCGTGGAACTCGTATAAATGCCTGTTGGGCGGTTCGCACTGGACGTTGGCGCGAAAATTCATCAATTCCGCGGTATCCAAAAGACTGGCAGTGTCGGGATGAGCCTGTCGGATCTTTAGATTTGTCTCACCGTCCAGATTAGCGGTCTCTATAAAGCACATACCCTGCGGCTCCGATGACGACAACAAGACCAGGTCGGCGGGGAAGAAAGTGTTGTTATGAACCTATGCATATTAAAGAGAGCGATTGTAGCTCAAGGGACGCCGATTATTACTAAATCAATAATCCTGACAAAAACGAAAAACAACCTTAACCACATCGCCGACAGCCACGGCGTGCCAATGTATCCACTCCCAGTGTCCATCTCTCAGCACCTCCACCTCTCTCATATTTATTTCATCGTCCGCTCTATGCCTTTTCTAAAATTTACCATATTTTTCTTATTTACATAGAATATCGAATATGAAGAAAACGCGACAATTAATTACTAATGTTATAAGTACGCACAACATCCTCGACTATTTCCTTCAAAGCGGACACGCTGAGGATGAAAATCAATGGAACCAATGTCGTCCAGCGTCCTGTCGGAGACACGTCTGGTATTTGCTAAATTTAAATCGGGAAACATATTAAAAATTTGCGAAATTCAAACACAGCTTCAAGATTTAATGAAAACACATACAGAAAACATTATTTTTTATCTTGACTATATAATAGTTGGAAGAATATCTATGAAAAATTCGTTTTAAAAATTTCGATAGTTTTTGTTCTCTGTTCTCTTACATTTATAACATCGGTTGTAGCTTGACAATATAGACTACCTGCATAAGTGCGATGAACAGGAAGAAACAATTGCTGTAACGACGGAATTGCTCAAACAGGAATAAAGGTATGAACGACAGAAATGAATACTTCGCAGTCGTAATGTGATTGTTTTTGTATTTTGCAGGCTGATGAGGTGCATTGATAAAAATGACCCTTCCTTCACCCTCATTGTATTGCGTAGGTGGTTGATCATCATCCTGCGAGCCACCGTTTTCCGTCCTTCCCGGACCAACTATAACACACGCAACAATAATACTTGTTCATTTTATGCGTATTTTTCGACGTAATGCGTAGAGAGATATAAAATCGATATATCTCTATGATGGACAGTTATTTATTTTTAATTTTCTTTTTTATTAAAATCAAAATTATAATTAAAAGTTAAGCAGCTTCTTATTTTAATTCGAGAATAAAAATCGATGATTTTACATCTTTAATATTTTTCCTATAAAAGTTTCTCCACAAGTTTCGGATTCGTTTTTTTTTTTCTATTCCCCAGTTACAGAAATACACACTTGCAGTATAAAGGTCAATGTAAAGAAAAGAGTCACGCTACCTTATCAAAGATATTCTGATCATAAGAATGTATTATGCCCAAGAAAATGACACTTGCACCCTGTACATGCACGGATATTTCTTTCTCTTATAGCCTCTGGTTACATAATGTTCTGCCCACGAGCAGTGAACTGACAGTTGTACTGCGACGTGAATACACAGGAAATGATCGCTATAAAAATATCGTACGCGACATGCTAAACTTTGAAGATAAATAATACGGGACATAGGTATTCCCAATGATACGCATTGAGCGCTATTTATTTTTTCTAACAATCTGGATTTGTCATCTAGCGTGCATGTAAAACAATATTAATCTTACAAATTGTTAATTCTTTTTTCATTCCTTTGTTTCTCAAAAAATTAAATAGAAATCATATATATTTAGGTTTTGATAAAAATCAAAATCTATAATAACTTTTACATATTTCAAAAATTAATACAATATTTCCGTGTATATTAAAGAGAATAAAGCAATATATTGAAAACTGACTGATAATAATATAAATTTAAAAGATGTAGTGTATATTTTTCTATTATTTATATAATAGTGTCACAATTTTGTAAATTTACCACAGATGCGAAAATTAGTAGCTATAATCTTAAAGAGGATAAGATATAACACTGTTACAACAAAAAAATAGATAAATGCTCTTATAGTTAACAAATCGTTGAATAGTTCAATCATGTTGTAACAATAGATTAGATATAAAAAGTTGTTTTAAAATTAATCGATTAAGATAAGAGTCGATACACACACAATGTCTATATATGTATGCCAATACTATATGCTTATTATACTTGTATATTTATAGCCAGATATATTTCGCAGAATTAACATAAAAAATATACTTTCAGAAAAAATTCTCGTTTGATTATATCAACACTTTTATTAATTTTATTAACTGTGTATTACGAAATATGTAACACTGATATAAAAATACTTATCAAACGAGAGTGTAGTTTAATGAAAGTGCCTCTTTAAAAAGCATTTGTTTTTGATAATCCAAGTTATCGAGCATTGTGTTATCGTATATCAACCATGGAAATTTCCCAATATGTACATAGCTCGATATATATATAAACGTGAATCATTTACACAATTATAAACAATGATAAATTTTATTCGAGCAATTTTTATTCCGACTTACGGGTCTGGGCATGCAGATAAAGATGCACACGGGATCTGAGCTCGTTAAACCATTGCACCAGCTTCGTGGCCGCGACTTCCATGATCGCTCGTCGTAAACGTCAAATTTCTCATATATATATATACATATATATGTATACCTATATATACATATCTCACATGTAACCGAGACGCGTGCTACATCTGTCCTGATTCATATTTAATTTCTGTGAATACAAGAATGTCTCACACGTACACGCGAATCGGAGCTACGACCGGATCGGAGCATCCGTGGTGGCACATCGGATAGGAAGCCCGTTCGCGTTAGTCTTTGTAGTTAGATCGTCTCTATATACAGACATATATAATATATATACATATATACACAAGCCTCAATAATAAATAATTCCCCTTAATTGCATCGATCGCCGCGACGTACGTCGTGCCGTGCCACGACGCCAACGTTGAAGCCGGTCACGAGGCGCATATGAAATGCGTTGTTATTCGCCACCGTGTCCATTTCACGGATAAAATTCGACACGACCTCGGTCACCTCTTGTCGCACTTTTCAGGTTATGTTATGCCGCTCGAGCGCGACCAAGCCGACGACGTTCGCGGAAGACGAGAGGAGATTATCGCCGAACAGCTGATTTTACGGCGACTCAATTACTGTCATACACTCGCGGAACGAAAACTGAACGACGAATGACGTGCCTGCGAATATTCTCGTGCGAAAAAAAAATTCAACGTGACGCATAGTCGCGCGACGACAACGTTTGACATCACGTGCTCGCAGCGCTGTACAGCTGTGCATGTTATACAGGGTGATTTTTAAACGCAATGAAAGAGAAATTTACTTGGTGTTAAAAGGTAATGTATTAAATGTGAGACACCATGTATAATGTGTTATTTAGGAGTTAAATTACATTATGTTCAATAACTTATGATGAATAAATCTTGTATAATTAATTAAAATTAATTAACAAGTGACAAATAATAATGGTGAAAATATCGCGAATATAACGGAGAAGGATGCGAGATGTTTAATTATGCCGGTTATATTGATTTTCCAAACTCCCCTCCCCCCGTACCCGCCAACTCTACAGCGATAACGTAACGACGCACTACTCCATATGTTTTTATTCGGAAGATAACATAATTGCGTAATATATGTATGGTTACGCGATAGTGGGGTGTCGCATAATCCAGGCGTTATATATCTATCTCCCTACAACAGGCTCACACGCGAAGCGTTTGCGCTCGTTTATTCGACGATCATTTCGTCGATTAGCGTTTCCGTCGTGTGAATATTTTGTTTTTCTGCGCACTTAAGGCAAATTATAAAATATCCGTCCGTGGATGTATTATTAAAAGTAATATTAACGTTAGAGCAATTATACTTATGTATGCAATTAGCAAACAAAAGCGGAAAAGAAATTGGATATTTGCATTTATGTGAAAGGAAAATAGAATTGCGTGACACACATCTTTTCAATTTTCTATTTTGTATTAAAAAATAAAAGAGGTATTGTAAGAGATGACTAAACGTATTCAAAACGTTACATCCTTAAGAAAATTTATAATTTTGTTTACGCTGAGTTTTTTTCGATTCTTCGTAGATCGAATCTTATATGACAGTGCTATAAATATATACACGGATAAAGTTGAGAGAAAATTGTATCATAGAAACAGGAAAAGTGGCAGAATCCGAATTATTTATAAAACGAACATTTCATTCGAATTCAATCCTGCATTTTAACGTAACGATACGAAATTTCTTCCCCTACAAATTATTTTGTGTGTTTTTTTTTCACGCACAATCTGATATTTAAATTAACTTCTCAATAATTCAATTAAATCCGAAAACGAAATCAGTCGTTCGTTCGAATAAATTTCAGACGCGATATTTATTCCCTACTCCAAGCAATGGCATCTCTCAACGCACTATATAATCTCCTAAAATTCTTTCCCTTTTTTAAAATTCCTCCACTTCCTAAAAATATTCTAGACGCAAAATACTTTAATCTTGAAAAGCTCGAAGGGGCGAAACTAAAATCCTATACAAACACGGCGTATCGGCAGGTCTCGTCTCCGGCGATCGATCGAACGAGCTCTCTTTCAAGGAGAGATGCCAGGTCTGTAGCACATCCGGCCGCCCGGCAATCGATCTCTCACCTTTTCCCACCGTGCGAAAGAGGTAACGTTTCCTCATACACGCACTCACGTTACTTCCACACGCAATTTTCTGGACGATATGGCACGACACGATACGGTATGGCACACGGTCCAGTCTGTCTCTTCCTAGTCGGGATAACGATCCGTCCGAGAGAGTCAACTACGTCATCGCACGTCGAAAGGATCCTCCTCTCTCTTGCCACACCCCTGCCGACTATGATGACACGTCGTTCGGTTACGTGCACGTGCGTCGTTAACGCGCACACGCGCCGGGACCCGCGACATCGATCGCGTTACCGGGAAATCCGCACGCAGGACGCATCGCCGTTAAATGCGGTATGTCCGATGCGTCGACCCAGAATGCTCTCTTTCTCTGTTTCTTTTCTCATGACAATCTCCGCACTTTTTCTTCGCGCCGCGACACAATCCCTTGCTTATAGATGCCCGTGTACGCACGCCCCGAATCGCGAAAGGGACGGGTCCGCAGTTGCGGATGTACCAAAATTAGTGAAAATAGAAATGGAATATAACTCTTTAATCGTGATTTGTATAAGCCAGGATAATTTTCAAGAAAATATCCAAAGATTTTGAAACAATAAGAAAACCATGTGCTCGAAATTCTTCCGTCTCGTGATTCATGTATCTCTTTTCATAGCTTCATCTTCTTTATCATTTAATTATTTTTGCACAAGACTTGGCGCCTGCAGCCGATGCGGCACTGCCCGAGGGGTTGCAAAGACAAAATGCGTCATTGAAATGTTCACGTGTATATCGCAAAACGCATGCGCCCATCGATGGCAACAAGTTGGTGTCAGCACCGACCGTGCTCTGGACGCAACCGGGGCTGCAATCCGGAGCGAGAACATAGAAGAGCGTGTGATGGCGTGATGACTATATAAGTTATGTTATCGATAGGCCAAGGACACCGCCAGCGACGCGCCACAACGGGGTGGTTTTCTCCACTACGCTACTTAAACAGCTCGTTCGACGCTGTCAGCAAACACTTTACGAGATGAAGCTTATTTTATGTTTTGAGAAATATAATTTTTATAACATCGAAACGTTAGGGTGTGTGCACACAAAATTAAAAATTTTTTAATGTTCTTTTTAACGAAAATATAGAGAGATTGTAATAGCTTTCAAATTAAAATGCATTGAAATTGAGAACTTGGATAATGGACTTGTTCGCTTTGATGTGGACTTTACGATAACAATTTAATTTAGAGTTTACCTAGTAGAGTATAAACAATTTATAAGTACTTTCTACTTTAGAATTATATACGCGCTGAACGTCTTCAATGAATAAATTTACTCGATTTACCCTCGGAAGTCGAATCCGGCGAGCCGGTCTCCTGGAGCTCGATGTGCTCCCGCGTTCTCCGTCTGCTGCTACTACGCGTGACAGGATCCAGACGAAGACCGATGTTGTCGACATTGTCGATGTCCCCGAGATCGATGGGACTGCCGATGATAAAGGGCCCGGCGGATTCTTGTTGCGCGCCGTCGTTCGCCCGATTGCTGGCGGGCGACACGTTGTTACGAACATCGTTGTCGTTGCCGTTGTTGCTGACATTGTTGCTGTGCAAGGGCGTGCCGTCCATATGAGGTATGGAAGAGAGGTCCGGCGGTGTAAAGGGTCGCAACGGGCCAGGGCTGGGAACCCGGGGGTTCCCCCTGGCAAACGGTTGCATTGACTGTGCCGGCGCCTGAAACAAGGCGACAATCTTTATATCTGTCATCTAACGGTATATACGCGTGAAATGCATGATTCGTAAAGAGGTAAAGAGAAGAAACAATACGCGTGAAAGAAATTAAAATTAAATCCATTTCAAGTACTCGGATTTGAAATTTTTTTCATTTCTTGATTGGTTAGCCATCGATGCATTTATTTTGATGTGTATTTCTTTTTCTATTTCTCATATTTCTCGGAATCTATCTATAAAAATCTGTTACAATGAAATCGGTGATTATCCTTAATTAAACATGTAACGACGACATTCCTTCGTGGTGATACATAAATTGTATAAACACATCGCGCGTATATATGTAATAGAGCGTATCTAGAATATATCCGACGACCCTGAAAGGAATCGTTCTCGCTGGTCTCACACGACACGTACGTCACGGTTCATTCACCCGTTATTGTTTCATATACGTCACGCATGATGTCATAGTTCGATTTCTAGAAACATTCCGTCTCGACAAGGTCAAATTGATTGAGCCTCGATAACTCGATTTATTCGTTTCTCTCAACTGACCAGAATTGACAGTTTTCGAAGCGAAATTGTTGAGTCACAGAAAACAAGGGTCCGAAAGTTTCAGAAATCAAAATTATATCCACGTTCTAGATTATCTAGATGTTTAAAACAATAGTAATATTAACTGTTTTCTTGTTGCAATATCTTTTATATTTTTGAGATCTTTGTAATATTTGCAGAATATTTTTTTGTCATGTTTTAACGTCGAAGAGAAAATATAAAAAAAATTTAAAAAAATTTTCCAAGATTGTATCAAAGATAATCTCATAATAAATTATAAGATAATAACTAATTGAATTGACATCGCCGTTTAATTCGTCATTTGTGTCTAGACCTAACAATGAACGTAAAAATACGTTGCGTGTTTGTCGTAGAATTACATTTGACAATGCAAATAATGTCGATGATTCATAATAACAGTAATGATAAACAGTATTCAACACATGCAAATAGCTTATGAGAATGTAACTTATAGCTTATTTGAATGTGTATTATGCATATATATATATATATATTTGACTTAAGCGAATGTAAGTGAAATTATTTCAGCGAAACGCAGCGCACGGGAGATATCATTGACGGCAAATATATAGCAAAGTAATGAGTATATTTAATTGGATAACCTTGTACGTTCCGTTTAATGAATTTTTTAAGAGAAGAATTATAATTTTATCTAACAAAAGTAACGTGTCTCCTTCGGGAACGCAAGTTTGCTTTTCCACGAAGTACGAAATCGACCGTGCGCATTTCCACGGTCGCATTTTCCCGCAATCACGATAAGGAATCTTCGAAACAATAATGTCAAAGTAGTATTGTATAAAGCTCGACAAACATATCTTGCACGCGATTATGTGCGTTAAAGCGACACCGGAGGATTTCACCGGTCTTTTCGTTATTTTATATTCAATATGCAACCGCGATAGCGTTTACATTATTAGATAAACACATGTGATATGAAGATCAAAAACATCGCATATAATGAAAAAAGTATGTTTTGCAAAGACGTTCTTTGTCTTTGTCGTTCAGTTTACAAAATTGCATTTTGTTTTACAAATAATTCGTTTCGCAAATATGTAGAAATACGAGAGATACGATATCGAGATAAGTCGGGCATTAATCAATTTTTCCGTAAAACCATGTAGCGTAAGCAAATATATGGAGTGCCAGTAAAACAAGACAAATTTTGAGTGTTTTTTGATGAATTTAGGATTTGTTTTGACAGCGAAGCTTGCACGCGTCAGCGGTAAATATATCGCCGGCTATCTCGCAAACGCTATCCTCGATTACATAAATTCGCAGTGCATATTTATACGGCTGAATATTTTTAGTTCTCTAGACAATATGAGATAAGCGATTACTTATCGAGCGATTACTATTACTGACGAAATCATTATTATTATATGTTATCTCTGTGATAATAGATTACTCACTACTATTAAACGCGTCGTCCGAGGCTGATTTTTAGACCTCGTTTTGAAATCTCGATTGGTTCCTCAGTTTGGCTCGTTAGACTTATCGCCTAATGTTATCGTTGATTCGTGACTGGCAATAATTCATCATTTGAGATGCTTGCCGAAGAGATTAAATAAGCTAAGTAAATCGCACGATGATCGTCAGGAATTATTTCATTAGATGCTTCGCACACTTTAACACGCACATGCGTATATAACAGAGACATACGAATATTTGGGGCTAATATTGCCACTCATTAATCATTCCGATATCATATCAAAGAAGTGATCAAGAAAAGATCGAAAATATAGATTTCCGACGATTCGACAGATATAACTTTAGTTTCCATTTCGCAGAAGGTTGCGAATATGATGGAAGACTTTTGTGCGATATATTAATTAACGAAGACGATTGCCGTTCAGTGATAACAGCAAGAAAGTAATCCGACAGATGGCTGAGAATTTTACTTTCATCGAAAGATCACTGAATTTTTACGATCAAGAACCGTGCTCTGGACGCAACCGGGGCTGCAATCCGGAGCGAGAACATAGAAGAGCGTGTGATGGCGTGATGACTATATAAGTTATGTTATCGATAGGCCAAGGACACCGCCAGCGACGCGCCACAACGGGGTGGTTTTCTCCACTACGCTACTTAAACAGCTCGTTCGACGCTGTCAGCAAACACTTTACGAGATGAAGCTTATTTTATGTTTTGAGAAATATAATTTTTATAACATCGAAACGTTAGGGTGTGTGCACACAAAATTAAAAATTTTTTAATGTTCTTTTTAACGAAAATATAGAGAGATTGTAATAGCTTTCAAATTAAAATGCATTGAAATTGAGAACTTGGATAATGGACTTGTTCGCTTTGATGTGGACTTTACGATAACAATTTAATTTAGAGTTTACCTAGTAGAGTATAAACAATTTATAAGTACTTTCTACTTTAGAATTATATACGCGCTGAACGTCTTCAATGAATAAATTTACTCGATTTACCCTCGGAAGTCGAATCCGGCGAGCCGGTCTCCTGGAGCTCGATGTGCTCCCGCGTTCTCCGTCTGCTGCTACTACGCGTGACAGGATCCAGACGAAGACCGATGTTGTCGACATTGTCGATGTCCCCGAGATCGATGGGACTGCCGATGATAAAGGGCCCGGCGGATTCTTGTTGCGCGCCGTCGTTCGCCCGATTGCTGGCGGGCGACACGTTGTTACGAACATCGTTGTCGTTGCCGTTGTTGCTGACATTGTTGCTGTGCAAGGGCGTGCCGTCCATATGAGGTATGGAAGAGAGGTCCGGCGGTGTAAAGGGTCGCAACGGGCCAGGGCTGGGAACCCGGGGGTTCCCCCTGGCAAACGGTTGCATTGACTGTGCCGGCGCCTGAAACAAGGCGACAATCTTTATATCTGTCATCTAACGGTATATACGCGTGAAATGCATGATTCGTAAAGAGGTAAAGAGAAGAAACAATACGCGTGAAAGAAATTAAAATTAAATCCATTTCAAGTACTCGGATTTGAAATTTTTTTCATTTCTTGATTGGTTAGCCATCGATGCATTTATTTTGATGTGTATTTCTTTTTCTATTTCTCATATTTCTCGGAATCTATCTATAAAAATCTGTTACAATGAAATCGGTGATTATCCTTAATTAAACATGTAACGACGACATTCCTTCGTGGTGATACATAAATTGTATAAACACATCGCGCGTATATATGTAATAGAGCGTATCTAGAATATATCCGACGACCCTGAAAGGAATCGTTCTCGCTGGTCTCACACGACACGTACGTCACGGTTCATTCACCCGTTATTGTTTCATATACGTCACGCATGATGTCATAGTTCGATTTCTAGAAACATTCCGCCTCGACAAGGTCAAATTGATTGAGCCTCGATAACTCGATTTATTCGTTTCTCTCAACTGACCAGAATTGACAGTTTTCGAAGCGAAATTGTTGAGTCACAGAAAACAAGGGTCCGAAAGTTTCAGAAATCAAAATTATATCCAGGTTCTAGATTATCTAGATGTTTAAAACAATAGTAATATTAACTGTTTTCTTGTTGCAATATCTTTTATATTTTTGAGATCTTTGTAATATTTGCAGAATATTTTTTTGTCATGTTTTAACGTCGAAGAGAAAATATAAAAAAAATTTAAAAAAATTTTCCAAGATTGTATCAAAGATAATCTCATAATAAATTATAAGATAATAACTAATTGAATTGACATCGCCGTTTAATTCGTCATTTGTGTCTAGACCTAACAATGAACGTAAAAATACGTTGCGTGTTTGTCGTAGAATTACATTTGACAATGCAAATAATGTCGATGATTCATAATAACAGTAATGATAAACAGTATTCAACACATGCAAATAGCTTATGAGAATGTAACTTATAGCTTATTTGAATGTGTATTATGCATATATATATATATATATTTGACTTAAGCGAATGTAAGTGAAATTATTTCAGCGAAACGCAGCGCACGGGAGATATCATTGACGGCAAATATATAGCAAAGTAATGAGTATATTTAATTGGATAACCTTGTACGTTCCGTTTAATGAATTTTTTAAGAGAAGAATTATAATTTTATCTAACAAAAGTAACGTGTCTCCTTCGGGAACGCAAGTTTGCTTTTCCACGAAGTACGAAATCGACCGCGCGCATTTCCACGGTCGCATTTTCCCGCAATCACGATAAGGAATCTTCGAAACAATAATGTCAAAGTAGTATTGTATAAAGCTCGACAAACATATCTTGCACGCGATTATGTGCGTTAAAGCGACACCGGAGGATTTCACCGGTCTTTTCGTTATTTTATATTCAATATGCAACCGCGATAGCGTTTTAAGTAAAATACACATCGAAATTAGATAAACACATGTGATATGAAGATCAAAAACATCGCATATAATGAAAAAAGTATGTTTTGCAAAGACGTTCTTTGTCTTTGTCGTTCAGTTTACAAAATTGCATTTTGTTTTACAAATAATTCGTTTCGCAAATATGTAGAAATACGAGAGATACGATATCGAGATAAGTCGGGCATTAATCAATTTTTCCGTAAAACCATGTAGCGTAAGCAAATATATGGAGTGCCAGTAAAACAAGACAAATTTTGAGTGTTTTTTGATGAATTTAGGATTTGTTTTGACAGCGAAGCTTGCACGCGTCAGCGGTAAATATATCGCCGGCTATCTCGCAAACGCTATCCTCGATTACATAAATTCGCAGTGCATATTTATACGGCTGAATATTTTTAGTCCTCTAGACAATATGAGATAAGCGATTACTTATCGAGCGATTACTATTACTGACGAAATCATTATTATTATATGTTATCTCTGTGATAATAGATTACTCACTACTATTAAACGCGTCGTCCGAGGCTGATTTTTAGACCTCGTTTTGAAATCTCGATTGGTTCCTCAGTTTGGCTCGTTAGACTTATCGCCTAATGTTATCGTTGATTCGTGACTGGCAATAATTCATCATTTGAGATGCTTGCCGAAGAGATTAAATAAGCTAAGTAAATCGCACGATGATCGTCAGGAATTATTTCATTAGATGCTTCGCACACTTTAACACGCACATGCGTATATAACAGAGACATACGAATATTTGGGGCTAATATTGCCACTCATTAATCATTCCGATATCATATCAAAGAAGTGATCAAGAAAAGATCGAAAATATAGATTTCCGACGATTCGACAGATATAACTTTAGTTTCCATTTCGCAGAAGGTTGCGAATATGATGGAAGACTTTTGTGCGATATATTAATTAACGAAGACGATTGCCGTTCAGTGATAACAGCAAGAAAGTAATCCGACAGATGGCTGAGAATTTTACTTTCATCGAAAGATCACTGAATTTTTACGATCAAGAGGAAGAAAATAGGAAAATGTAAAGCTACTCATAATCAAAAATTTAAAAAAATTAATAATTATTATTTAAGACACTTTTTTATATGGCACGATGACATCAGCGCGTTTTATATTCTTTTATTTTATAAGAGAATCGTAATTTAAAACGCTGACCGTGCTCCACTTAATTTCACTTGTATTAGAAATGATTGTAGCTATGATTAAAGTCTATTTAGGTCTATTAAAACCGATTTAAGTTCACAATAACTGCAACATACATTTGTAAATATTTTACAAAAAGAAGCTTCTCTCTTTGAAATAGAGAATCGTCAATTGATTAAAACATGTTTCTATCGTAACCAGAAAAAGGCACTTATCACTGGAAGAGAAACGAACAACCATCAGCACGCACTAGTCGACACTGCGAGTAAAACTGCACTCGCGCGCGCAAACCGAATCGATTCGATTCTTTCCGTGAATTTCTGCCAATCCTGAGCGTCGTAAAGGAGTCGCCGTTATTTATTTTAACAACAAATGTTGCAAATGTTTGAATTTTCTAATCATCGTGTAGAGGATACCGAGACGATGGCAGGGCGGCATCGGATGAGCGGGAGCGGCTTTTTCACGGGAGGAACGTCCAGAAGTCACTGTTAGAAATCCAACGTGATAGTAACAAGGTACGGCCAATAGGAGCGAGCGAACCGATCGATAGCACAAGACACGAAGTTTCGACCTGATAAGATCAAGATTTCTATGGCGCGACCTGGCTGTCTGTTCGTGTATATCGTTGTATCGAGACTGTAGCAAATTCCCGCGGCTGTCTTCGATAGATAGATCTTTGATTGGAGGGCTATCATCCTCAGCGTTTTTATCTCTTTGCAACCAATATAAGGAAAGAAAGAAGTTGTTTTACAATTTGCAATTTTATATTTAAAACTCATTTCTCCTATATATACATAAAACCATTAGACATTTTATACAAGACGAAAAAGTTTTCGAAAAAGTTATTCGTCTGGGCATTTTGAAAAACTGTTATCGATCCTTTATTTGAAAGAAAGTATGAGAACAAAACAAACTTGTACAAAAAATAATAAAAAATTTGTTGGAGAAGATTAATTTCCAAACTTGAGTCACAGGCTTATAAGTTATTAATTATTTCTATCCCCGTGATTGAATACGACTCCACGTGCGACGCCTCTCTGATAGAAGTATTGATGACGTAAGCTCGCAATCAGATAACATTTCATTGATTGTTGAGTTGTATAATTCTATTAACCTTTGTATGCGCGAGTAATAATTCTGTGTCTTTAATAAATAAAGAGCATGAGTGATTATCTTATAAATAATTTCTAAGTTTAAACTTATATATATATAGATCGAACTTAGATCCAAGCTTACTATCCCATTAAACTATAATTTCCAGTGATTATTCTCATTCACAAATGCACAGATCTGAAATAGAAGCTATTGCCTATAACTACAATTTATTCTCGTCGCATATTAATATAGCACTATTAGTTCAATACGAGGAAAATTACACATGCTACATCATAAAACCTGCGACAATTCCTACAGTAAGCGGGAAAGGCATATATCTGCAGCGCGAAACATCAATAACGCAAATACGATACCAAGTAGATGAGCAACATTACAATGAACAGAAGCGCGATGATAGAGTGCAAAATGGTCGATATTATCGACGATGCTCCTTTCGCGACAAGGCCATCATAGATCGGTCAGGATCGTTGGCGGTAAAGAAACGTTGAATAATTGAATTCTATCGAGTTGATAATGAGACCCCGAAGCGCTTATGCGTCATTTCTCTCCTCGGATGTATTATGAAAGGACGCCCTTTTACAGGAGCGAGTGGATGTCATTAAAATACGTATGTCCCCTTTTAAAAGAGCATTCATACTCGGCAGTGTCGGAAATGTCGTTTCCCCAGAGTGGTGCTCCTTTTTCGCGTGCAAAATATCAAAGTAACTTGCCTCTATACTTGCCCGACTTATCGAGTTGACCGATCGCAAATTAACACTTCCGTTATGCCGCGACGCTAATAAGCCGACATAAGTAACGTGACATGGAAAACGCGATGCAAAAGATGATCTCCAGGATCGTGCATAATTTTTGTTTCTTTCAGCGTAACACAAGAAATTAATGACTTGCGCTCTATTAATTCACGTATTAAGCGTGAAATTGTTTAATTTTTTTAAACGTGCTGTACATTTTCTTTAGTTTCAGTTATAATAAAATATTTCATATATGTATCTTCGTACCGATATTTGGCATTTCGGACCTAACGAATATTAAACAAGCATCAATTAGAATCAAACAAAATTTTTTTAAATTGAATAAAATGAGGCTACGAAAAGGCGCGGCTGTCAACCTGATCGCGTACGAGCATTGATTTCGTAGAAATATTGTACATGTGCACGTGTTTGCAATTGATAATGATGCGAATCTATCGATAGGCCGCACGTAATACCACACCCTTCCTCGAAATGAGGCCGCATTACCTTTGCCATTATCAGAAGGGCTGATGGAGCAAAATTAGTACACAGGATTGTTACTTCAGAACGAATATGATCGTTATCAACTAGTTTGTCGCAAATTTTATGATCGGTATCTATCTCTATTCCTTGCTACGAACAAAATTATTCGTAAAATGATTGTAATATATTTATGTAAACCTTTATCCAATAATAATATATTTAATTTTAATATATATATATAACTTGCACCAATTTCTTTTTTCACGGCAAAAATTGCATACTTCTCAGACAGATGTAATCAGTGAAGAATAGAAAAATCAAGACAAGATTTCGCACAGTGAGGCAGAGAACTAAAACTTACTCGGAGTCAATATGCAAGATTGCACACAGCAATAAACAATCGCGGTTACGAAACTTCGACCGTATATATAAGTCGATTATATAACCCACCGCCGTTGTCGCGCAACACGTCTTCGTTACTCGCGTATTATTTCTGTAAGCACAGTTCGCAAGTTTAAATCCAACAGCTTGAGACTCGCGTGACATTACTCGTCACATTATCCGTCACGGACGAAATTCGTGCGTGCGCTTAAAGAGAAAGAGACAACAATCTTTTCAACATTTCACGTGGCGATCTTCTCGGGCAAAAAGCTTTTATCACGCATTTGGGTCAGGTATCCACGTTAGCCGCACCCCACAAAATCACACAAAATTCGTCTACCCTGTCCATATATCATTTATCTTTCCGGCTATCTTTGCGAGCTAATGAAAAGCAATTGTTGGCATTGGGATACGCCCAGTCCGATGATTATCTGTTATGCTATTCCCGAAAATGTGATGCCTGTGGAAGAACCACGCAAACATAAATCAAAGAAATATAGTATACATCATCGTCAACATGAGATTGGCACATTTAAACAAATATGCTTCAAGAGTAATTTCACGATTGATTGCTTTTTGAAAAATAATCACGACTCTACGGATTTAATCTATTAAATTAATTCATTTCGAAATGTGTGCTTATCCTAGATTTTTGCACAAGCTTTTCTGAAAAAATTGATTTTCCGGATTAACTCTCGCGTTCTTCTAATTTCTCAATAACTCGGTTATTGTAAATTGGCTTTAATCGTGCGTGCCGAGAGCTCAGGAAATGTACTTGTGAAACTGGCACTCGTGAAATATTTCGATTGCCAACTCGGACAACTGTAGAGATTACCTAGGAACAGATTGAACACGAAAGGCAATGTCGAGCAACGCGTTGTAGGAACACGATTACAAGTGTGACCGGATTTAATTCTGTAAACATTGAATAGTTTATTCGCATGAAAAATTGCATTTGAAATGCTGAACCGTCATCCCATGTTATTTACACTGTACCATTCGCTTTAAAGAAGCAATTAAAAATTCTAATAGCGTTAGCAATTTACATTTAACACAGTGTTCTTTTTCGCGAAATATAATATAATTGAAATAAATCGTTAATAATATCATGGTTCCCTCATCTTTGCACACTTTTCTATGTATTTTTAAGCCTCAGTTAGTTTTCATAGAAATGAAATTGAAAATTAATTTACTGCGAGACTCGCATAGATATGTTTATGTACTCTTTTTTTTATTAATCCCTTTCAGCTTTTCATATAAATTTGATACGAGAGACGCGGAAAGAGAGAAGGTAACTATGACATTAGATCCATGAAACATGTCATCATAACAGCCGCTCCCATTCTTTATAAAAATAATTTAACATAACTGGGGCATACAGAATGGAAAACTGGGCGATGTTTAGCTCACGTAAAAAGAAGCCTATCCCCTCTGTCGCATAATTTCAGTATTAAAAACATGTGGATAGGATGACAAAGGCCAATTAATTAACAAAATATACAAAGGCTAATTAATTTGCGCAGAATATCACCTAATAGTCACCAGCTTGATAAATATATAGATATATACATATACATAAAATATTTTGTAATTAGAATAGAGAGTGAAGTTTTGTTTTAGGATAATATAACCACGACCGGACACGCACGCACATTCATAAAATATAACATAATAATTAAATTAAGTAAAATCAAAATATGAGAAAAAAAAGAAATATGATTCTATATTCAGTACAGAGGCGAATTTATTTTGCAGCAAAATAAGATAGATATATAAAAAGCGTAATTTTTGCTTCTCAAGTTCTAAGAAACACGATATCAAACGACTCTTACAAGCACCAATCGCATTTGTAATTTCACATGACGATGAGTTTTACAGATAACAGAAAACAAGACAAATTTGAAATAAAAATAATGGCATGGAACTGTGAAGCTTATTATATATTGGGAACAGATCTAATAAGTGTCATGTCATAATTAAAAACACTTGTCGATAATACTCACGATTATCTCATCGCAGAACACGGGATTATCGTTTAATTAATTTAACCCTTTTATTATAATCAAGAGTTATACCAGCTCTGAGATAAAACGTGCAATCGAACTTGGATTTTTCCACAGGAAGTAATTTTACGCTAACAATAAGCATGCAAAGCATTCTCGAGACTAAGTCGTATAATGCTGCGGATTCATCGCAGTGGCCGTTTCTATCAATCATTTAGGGCGTCATAGTTATTTCAAAACTGCGGATTCAGGTTTCTGAATGAAAAAAATGATGTAGCGACTTCAGAATCATTATATTAAGAAAAAATATCGATACTTCGACAACACATTATTAGCACGAGCGGAAACTGCTGCTTGTCCTCGTTTAACCAAATGTGAAGTTAATAATATTCAATAGGAGGCCTCAATATCACGCTCGAAATATTAAAAAAGTTTATTAAAATTATATTAAAATAAAAAATAATATTAAAAGTATATTAAAATAAAAAATTGTATATAAATATATTAAAATAATTGCTGTAAAAATATAATACTCTATACAATTTTACGATACCCATTTTAATTAATAATAAATAATGGTTGCGCTGTATAAATTTGAAATTTATCTCGTTCGTCGCGATCAATGCTACAAATATTCAATATTTTGATGAAAGATACTAGAGTGATATTTAATGTAAATTATATAAAGATACCGATAATGCATAAAATTTAAGTATGCCTGGCTGTGCTTGCACAACGGTACGTCAAGTCAGGGAGATCGATGTATTATGCAACAAGTAGTCAGTTGCCAGTGACGTTATACTTAAGGCGATAATCACAAGGAAATTCTACAAATATTCAGGCAATATTTCCGATAAAACATTCGCGCGCAAACTAATAGAATATATTTCTTCCGGCATATCCTTGGCTCTATCAATGACGATAAATTTATCGTCAAATTTATTATCCAAAGTGTTTATGAGACAATTCAATTGTCATTCAATGTCGTCGTGAAAGATGGAAGGCTAACTGTCAAACACGCTTGTTGTAATAGGAAAAAGTAAAGTGTGCTCTGTCAACTATAACCGTTTATTTAAATGATAATTATAGAGAATATATTATTCTTTAATTATTATCAGAATATGTTTTATTAAGAGGTGGAAAAGAGAGTGGATTCTCTCTCTGTCAAATTATATTAATTTCGACCTTTCTCTCCCCCCATTATATTTGCATTGCATTACGTATTTTATGTCTAATTTAATATTAATGATGAGAGTTCTTAAAGTTCATGTTTTTTTACATTGATTCTTAAAAGTGTAAACTAAATTTACATTTTTTCAATCTCAATAATATGTAACATAGAACACGATAGTTGCACTTTGTATAAGTGTAAAGTTAGCTGGCTTTATTGATGTCACGTATATACGAGTAGATATACATATATATTTCTGAATCAAAGTAAAACTCTAGAAAAAGAAATAAAACGCATTTTCTGCTGCATTATTACAAAGGATTATTCTCCCATGCATACCAGATGTGCATATAATATAAAATCTATTCATGTATGTATGTATGTATATGTACGTGATATCACATCAAGTACGCGTAAACCGTTTTAAAACACGACAAGAATGTCAAGGATAAACATTTACATAGGCCTAATAAATATTTACAAGAGCAAGTATTCATTAGTATGCGTGATTCTGTTTCGATCCTGTATAAGTATCTAAAGTATAAAAAGTGGAAAAATAATGTTATCTTACAATTAGTCGAACCTTTATCATATCTCAAAAATAAACAGCTGTTTATTTGCAGATAATACATTGGCGGATTATGAACAAGATCTGGATTAATCAGAACATACTTAGCATCTTATATGTACAGAGATTTGATAAAAAGTAATTGAAAAGGAAGTTAATTTAAAAAAACTTTAAAAATACTTAGTGATAAGGTAAAGAAAAAAATCGCCTTATTCGTGTTGCAGCTAAGGCCACGATTGTTTCAAATCTGTCATTGATATTTACATATCATAAGCAACAATCTCATACGCGTCTTTACGTGGGCGCCCTTCGTCCTATATATGTTATGTGTGCACTTGACATCTCTCACTGCCGCATTCTAACCTCAAATCCCATCACACACATATGCGCACACATACACACGCTATAAGGCAAGCAGAGACAGGGAAGAGAAAGAAAGAGTGAGAGAAAAAGAAACGAAAACAAAACTCACACTCACCCGTGCGTAGTCGCGTGTCCGCATTGACTATGCCGTCGCAGACATACCGCCAGCTCGTCAGCATTTCACAGCGTCGGGAGATAAATCCGCGCGTACTCCAAGGAAATGTCACGCACGCACGTACGCACACGAGCGCGCTCACACGCGCGCGTGTGCGACCTGTCGTCTCGCAGGCCGCGACGCATTCGGCCGCATGGGGGAAACGCGCGTCGTTCGAGCGAGAGGTGAGAACGACGACAACGATGAACGACGACGACTACGGGGAGGACGCGTGCCGATTCGAATCGCCGCGTCCGCGCGCGCGATTCGCGGCGGCAAACTGTTGCGGAAATTCGCGAGCGCTTCCTCGCCAAGATCTCCGAGCGTTCCTCGTCGTAGGTGAGTAATGTCCCGACTAGACTTAGACACTGGTACTGTAAAGACCCTTGCCTCGACGATGCTACGCGGATATTTATTATTAACTCTCTTCGGAGCCATAGGCGGGAAACACGGCCGTCCGGGATCGCGCCGCGCCATCGGCCGACGACGAACTCGCGTTCACCAGGTGGCAGCAGATATCAACTGGTTGAGGATTGTGTTCGAAAATCTATCGTCGAAATAAATTAATGTTTGAGCGACCAATGAGGATAAAAGAATTTTTTATCCTCATTGGTCAATCAAACACTACATCTACTCTGCGAGTAGATTTTCGAACACAACCATGGAGATCGATGGGGCCCGGGCTGTACTACAACGCGAAGTTGCAGCAATCAAAAATTTTAGAATGAAATATATTCTGAATAAATTCCCTGTGTGTTTATTAGTTAATATGAAATTTTAATTTCTAGACTAATTTCTCTTAGATATATCAAATGTTATAAGATTTGAAAAAATAATTATTCTATCGAAAAATATAACACATTTTTGACAGAATCAAAGGTCACAACAATCGAAAATTTTATCAATTTAAGAAATCACGTTATGAGTTTTCTGATATGGACTGCGAATTATCAGCAGTATCAAAAAATTATTCATATATGTATACTTTCATTCATATATGACGTATTGTTATTTAAAACGAAACACGATAATGAATCCGTACGATATATATATATATATATATATATATATATAAATAAATTCCCTGTGTGTTTATTAGTTAATATGAAATTTTAATTTCTAGACTAATTTCTCTTAGATATATCAAATGTTATAAGATTTGAAAAAATAATTATTCTATCGAAAAATATAACACATTTTTGACAGAATCAAAGGTCACAACAATCGAAAATTTTATCAATTTAAGAAATCACGTTATGAGTTTTCTGATATGGACTGCGAATTATCAGCAGTATCAAAAAATTATTCATATATGTATACTTTCATTCATATATGACGTATTGTTATTTAAAACGAAACACGATAATGAATCCGTACGATATATATATATATATATGTATATGTTGACATGCAAGCAAAAGTTGAACAGTATTTAAAAATGGCCGCGATATTGCGTATGGGGCGTTAGAAGCCAGTTTGATAGCTGTCAAAGTAAACTTACGATTGATATACATCGTTGCAACCATCGCGGCGAAACACGTCAATGGCCTGTCTTATTTATAGTAATCTTTCAATCGGGTCTGCCAAATATTTTGACGTAAGACCAGCCGGATGCGATTTCGCATCGCCGAGACAGCACTGCTATAAGAATCGCGGGCACGCAGTTTCGTCGTCCTGATTTGGTTCTATCGGGAACGTAAGATTTTTCTGTCGCTCGCGTATTCTCCAGGTAAATAAAACTAGAAGTGACTAGAAGACTGTTTAACGCGATCGTTGCGGTGAGGGTTAGCGTATCGAGAAACGTTTGCCACGAGAATCGCGGAATCGAATAGTGCATAGTTTTATATTCGTTAACGAAAGAGAAGAGAACGGCGAGATGTCTCCCGGCGTTAACGGCGGTGGTGGTCCCCGCAACACGGGCACCTTGCCGAAAAGCAACCGAAGGAACGATAGAAACCGAGAGCAGTCCGCCGTTAATCAGCGGCTCACAAACCGCTCGGGTTATCACGGCCACCCGCAGCATTTTAACAATTTGGTAAAATCGCCAAGAGAGAAATTAGTTTCTTTATTACTCCCTTTCTCTCTCTCTTTTTTTCCTTCTTATTTTATTATCAGGAGATGTATGTATGTACGTATTCATTAGTAAGATAAAACATACAATGCATTTTTTGTTATTATATATTTGACTTTCTTTAAATAATTATTTTTATCACAAAGTAAAAAGATTATTATTAAATTTATTATTAATTACTATAAATTTTATTTAAATTATTGTTTGTAATTGTTATAATTTATTTTCTTTTTGTTATTGCGTTATAGAATGATATAAAGAAATAATTGTATAATGTATGCACAGAGATTAAAACAGAAATCAGTTTAAGAATTAAAAAATATTTAGCCGCACAAGATGCTTGAAATTTTCTGACAGAGATATGCGATCAAGCTGCTCCTAGCAGTATCAAATTCAATCTATTAATAGGCTATAGAGTAGTGGGGTGTTTCTTGCTCTAAGAATACTCACAAAAGTGGATCCACATTGGTAACAGTAGAGCTACGGGCATTGTTCTAATCACTTTACTTAATTTAATCTTATTTTTGCATTTGCATAAATATTTTATCTATGTAAAGAATTTTCTGTTAGATTCAGTTGAGTTGGCAAGCAGTGGGTGAGCGTGAAAGTGAACCAAGAGTATCAAGAGCAGCAAAGAACAGCAACACGAGATCAGCTTCCTCTCTACTGCCTTCTTCATATTTTACCACATACCAAGACTTATCTGATTGTGGTGAATATATACATACATTTGAGTCTATCTACACATTTTTTCTATAATAATAAATATTATTTGTAATTCCACTCGTTATCATAGCATCACATAGCTCAGCAAGTCAGTGCAATTATAGTGCAGAAGAGTACATACCTTGGCTAAAAATGGTACCACCTATTGAACCTAGAACTCAATCACCACAATTACCACAAGAAAAGCCTTCCAATGTTAATAAGATGGTACTATGCTACATTATTTGTATTTTTAGTGTCTCTTTTGCAAATGATGATTATTGTAATTTTGATTTTGTTATTATATTTCTTAAAGCCTGATAGGAATCAAGTAGAGAGCCGGTTAAATCAGATCAGGGACTATATTAGAATCACTGCAACAATGATGGAATCTCTTGGTCAATCCCCCGATCTTGTAAGTATTACATGTGCAATAATAATATAGTATGTGTGTATGATATTTTTAATATTTTATGTTATAGAATTTTGCTTAAATTATTTTTTAATATTGTAACTATATAAATATTTTATAGCGCGCACAAGTCCAGAAAGAGAAGTTAAATAGAATGGTGGAGGATCTTCAAGATAGCGAGACAAAGCTATCCAAATTATTGGAGCAATATAATCACGGAGTTTCTGATGAGGTTATTAACATTTAATGGTTATTGAAATATTGGCGACAAACTTTGACTTCTTTTTAAATTGAATATTTTATTTGCACAGAATGGCGAAAACGAAAGAGAAGACGTAGATGAACGCGGCGACGCTAATAGAGAGATGCGATTACGGAGAAATATGGAAGATTATCAGAACAAACTCGCACAATTGCAAGAGCAACAAGCTAACTTGATGGGTATGCAAATGCGTGTCAGAGAAAGATTGAATGAGGCACGTCAAGCACAACAAATACTTTTGCAACAAGAGAATCAACAAGAGAATACATCCAATTCGGATACATGGGAAGGCAACCGTGCGTGTCTGCCGGATCCGATTAATGTCGAACAACTTGAATCAGAAACGGCGGTGCTAAGGGGGAAGTTAGCGCAACTTCAAAAAAAAAAGAAGCACATGGATCATCTTGTAGCGGAATTACAAGCCATAGAGACATCTGATAGAGTTAGTTGTGTTAGTTTTATTTTTCATTTTTAATGTGATATAAGTGACAATCACATACTTATAATATACATCTCAAAATTTGCTCCATAATTTTTACATAATATGCAAATATTTTTTTTATCTATTATAATATTTATGAAAGCTGATTACTACTGTGTCTTCTTCTAGAAAAAATATGTATTTATTTCTAACTCATATTTAAGCAAATAACTTGACAGAATTTCATATTTAGTAATTCTGTGTAATATTCACTGAATACTTGAAAATGCTTGGACATTTTATTAAACCACATTATTCTCCTGATTTTACTGGCTCACTACATAGGATATTGCAACAATTTTATATTTGCAAGATGTATATTTAATTTTATGTTTTACATTTACAAATAAGTTGCATTTAATTATTATTCATTATTATTGTATTTGTATTGTCCAGCTTTCTGAAAGCTCAAGAAACACAATTAGAGATAAAGCCGCGGAATTAGAGGCAATGAAAGCACAGCTTGCACATATAAAAGCTCTAATGGAAGACGGTACAAAAATCCGCGATTCTATGGATTCTACTTCTGAGCTTGAACAAGATATTGATGTAAACTGTGAAGGTGCAGCAGACATTGGGATTACTGAAGAGGTGGCAAATGTTTCATTTGAATACCGAAGCGATAGCGACGATGTTGGTCATGGAAAAATTCGAAATTCCGTGCCTACAATTGAAGATATACAGGTAACAAACAGCAATCATAATATTTTTTAACACAATGTGTAAATTGCAACATTTCTTTAGATTGTAACACGAGAACTTAAGGAACAATCGGCTTTGCTTCAAGCCACGCGAGCTGAATTACAACGTTTAAAGCAACCATTATCCGGTGTTACCCATCCTGCTTCTTCGTCCTCCTTTTCATCTTCGAGCCCGCCTCCAGCGCTTATACCTCTAAATGCAAACGAAAAGAAACAGAGTAATAATGTTAGTACGGAGACTCAACCCATGCAAGCTAAAAGACGTCAACTGGAAGATTTTATAAAAAAGGTCCGAATTTCATATTTTTTACACATTCTCTTTTTTTGTTTACATAATCGCAATTATACAACTTCTTTAAAAAAAAATAGGAACAAACACAGCCATCCAATGCGAATCGAGATGTCCAAGTGCCAGATCACAATAGTCAAAGAAGCTCGGGTTCGCAGGCTAGTCATACCAGCACACCTGCAAATATCTGGCCACCTTCTACTGCCACAGGTAAATATTGTTATTATTTGTTATAATAATATTAAAAAAATGTATTTTTATCATGTATGTTTCCTATAGGTGGAGGAGGTTCTAACGAGCAAAGTGTGGATGGCATATCTACATCAGACAATTTATTGGATATTGGTCCACAAATCACTGCTATTGAGAATGGTGGATTTAATAATAATTGGTCAGCTTGTCCTGTACCACCTGCGTCTATCGTAAATCAAGGACAACATGGTAAAATATCAAATTAAAAATAATATTTTAAAACTTTAAAAGATTAAAGAAGGAAATGTTAAGATATGTTTTTTTTTGTTATAGCTTCGGTCGAATATTATCGGCAATTATTATTGGGTTCGCAAGCTCAACAACTGCAAATGATGGGTACGACAGTACAACAGTGTTGTCAGCTTTTGTGGGCGCAGCAACGCGAGTTACAATCCATGCGCGCCGCTATTTCTCAACTGCAATTACAAGTGAGATCGCAAAATGAAGTACCGCAGCGCGTCAACAATGCCGAAAGTCAGGAGGAATATTCTAATCTGAGCCGCAGCGTTCACAATCTCGGCGATACGTTGGACGCGACTTTGCCTCCTAGTTCGTCTTTACCAAATCTTGTGTCACTACCTAATTCTTCAACATTACCGCATACTCCGATAGTTACTTCTAACTCACAACAACAACAGCAGCAACAGTTGAACAATCAAGTACCTCCTGGTAATAGAGCAAACAACTACTGGGACAATTTCCGAAGGTAAAAAAATTGATTTACAAGTCGACACACGAGTATATGCCTCGTCTTTTCTGATATGTTATAAAAGTGTAATGTAGACTTGTAAAAAATTATATTTTATTGCGTATTTACTCTTACTTTTATAGTTAAATTTTTATTTACTCAAATATAAAGAAAGTTTTTTCTGTCTAAAAATCTCTCTCATTAAAAATCTCTCTTCATTACATTTGATTTTTAACATGATTACCATAATAAAGAAAGATAAATATGAAATTAATTAAACTCCAATAATAATCAGTAGAATTCGATAACGATTATTTATGGAAATAATTTTATGTCAGAAATTTGTACTGTATTATTTCATATTTGTCATATTCCATAATATTTCGAAATAGTTTGATCAGATTCGTTGCGCGTTTTTGTTTTCTATTTTTCTGTAAGTCTAATGTATTACATTTAGTAATAAACATCACAATCTCCGTCTTTGTCATTTTCTGTCTTATACTTTTCAATTATCACTACCCTTGTTTAATACTGAGATATTTAAGCACGTATAGCCTATATCATAATTCAGTTAAATAATCCTGTGTGGTTAATACAAACAAAAAAATAAATAAGGAAAACATTTGTTGGTAGGTAATATATAGGTACGTAAAGAAACTTTTCATGATTAGATAGAATATATCATCAATCTAAGTTTTTTCATAACTGACATTAATGTGCATGCAGCGTGACAATAATTGTCTTAACATAGAGATCTTTTTGTGATTTATTTGCGATTGCAAACACAACATTCTGTTCTGCCATTCTAACTTAAAGTTTTGTTTTTCTGTAACAGACAACTTATTTTATGTATTAATATACATTTTTTAAATATAAACTTTGATATTTCAATTTTTACATAAAATTATAAATATAAATTACCTTTCTTAAACCATATCTTTTTTTATTTTCAGTTATTCTCGGCAAAATCTGCTCTCAGGAAACGTGAAAACAATAACTGACTCTCCAGTAGTTATAGCAAATTCAACATGTTCTGCAAACACGACTAACACAAGTGGAAGTAGCGTCAACAGTTCACTGATGTATGGCATATAAATATTATTAGATCGATATTAATATACTTCTTACTACTACGTTCTTTATATAATATTTTTTATTTGATTTTTAAGGAAAGATAAGCGGAATAGAGAACAAGGAAGTGATAATTTACCTTTACCATTAATCGGTGCAGAAGCACAATATTCATTAAACTTACAACTACCGTCAAATCTACAACAGCAAGACAGGGAAAATGCTACTAGTCGTAGTAATATTATAGCAAACGAGATGTCTCAACAAGTTGATAATCTTTGGGAAGAAGCTCATGGGTCTTTTCGATTAGCATCTGCAACGAATGACGATAACATCTTTAATAATCTCAGGTTTGAATCCTTCTTAAGATTTATTATCACAAGATGATTAAGATACATCTATTAATTAAAAAATAGATTGAACATATATAATTATTTTTGTTATTACACAAAAAAATATATATTAGTTTGAGCAATTTATTATGAACAGTTCAGAGATGAAAGAGGCAATCAGTTCGCTCATCGCAGTGAATAAAAGGCGACCCGATTTTCTAATCATTATTTTAAGAGAAATTAAGACTATTAGCGAGGACCACAGACTGCGATCTCACTTGTTAAGATCACTTGCTAAGATCACTACTTTACAGGACACGCGAACATTAAATAATCCATTGGTTAGTATATAATCTGCTCTTGTTATAACGTATGTGCATTTATACAAATTATTCTGCAATAATATTGAATTCTGTAGCTATTAATGACAATTTTATGTAGAACGAGGCACCTGACTTAACTCCAAGTGAAAGTTGTCAGTCTAGCGACGAAGACTCGGATGTCGGTGCAATATTGGGCTTTGGTTTGGAAAATCAATCATCTATGACTGAATTGGGTGCGACATCTCATGTAGACACTGCGTCTTCTCCAGTTTCATCTCAAATACCATTACTAGATCATTTGGAAATATCGGTAAAAATAATATAAAATAAGTACAAAATTCTATTACATGATATATATAAAAACTTCCCATCTAAATTATAATGCAACATTATCAGGGAACATTCTCACTTGACTGTGCAAGTACTCTCCCTACCACTTCTAATGCTAAGCCTGGTTATAATGAGGATTTGGCAGAGGCTGATCAATCGAGGCCTGAATCTTCAGGGAATCAAAAGGTACTACATTTTCTTTTTCTTAATTTTTTTGAAATTAAATAGATGATATAAATCAATATTAAACATGTTTTAGCCTCTTGTTGGCGATGCAAATAATGAGAAAGGGCAAGAAGAAGCAGCATCTTATTCAATTGGTGCAGAAGCAGTTACCCCTGATTTTGAAAGCCTTGCTGCTAAAACTGAAGATGAAAGAGCAGAGGATACTGAACTTGATACATTTCTTACTAGATTACATCATTAATTTCGATATATTTGCATAATATAATTACTTAAAATTATTTTTTTCAATGCAATAGTAAAAAAAGCATATAAAAGAAATGTATCTTGATCACTAATAAGATATTTGTTTATTATTTACAATTACTTCTTCCAATATCAAAAAAATCAACTAATAAATAACTGAAATTGGTAAGATAGCCCAATAGTTATTAAAAAATTAGAAACTTTATCAATATATCACATATAAGTTAAAAAACGCCTAACAATTGTTGACAGCTATAATAAATCTCTAGTCAAGGCGCGTAACCTGTGAAATAAAAACATAACTAATTCAAATAGATCCAATTAAAAAAATGTTAAAGAACATTGCCACACTATACAAACTAAAGTAAATATAATTTATATTGTATTTTATATCATGTTATTATATCTTGGCAAATTTAATTTTGTAAAATTTACAAAAATGTGAATTTTGTAGATACAATGTGCAATTACAATCACAATGTCATTATGTATGTGTATATACACATTGGAGATGTGTTTTACTATAATCTACATTATAAATTATATATATATATATGTGTGTGTGTGTGTGTGTGTGTGTATATACACAATGACACTGTAATTATAATTATGCGTTGTATCTATTTGAATCAAGGAAGAACATTGAAAGATGAAGGAAATTAGAGGCCTAAATTTACAGACAAGACAACCAAAATTTTTTCAGGGAAAACTTCTTATCTTTAACTGCAAAAATAAAATCAAGAAATATATTATATATAAGAAATATATAAAGTGTATGTAAAAAAAGCTCTAATAAGTATATGATACATATTGAACTAAATTTTAAAATAAAATATATTGGAAAACTTTTTTAATAATTGATATTAACATAAATAAGTTGTTATATAGATTATGCCTTGTAATCTTGTCTGATGTGTATTGATTTTCAAAGTGTTATACAATAGATACACACAAAGAAAATCAATTCAATCGGGACATATAGTCACAATGAAAAAAATCGCAAATGTTTGAAAAATAAAATGTTTTCTTTATATTTAAATAATAATTCTCAATAGTGGATCTTTCGCTTTACATTATCGACAATCTAAAGTTTTAATTTTATTATTGATAAAGATTTTCAGCATTGACAATAATTGTGTAAATAAAAAATAAAAATAATTTCTGTTTCTCTTATAGTCGGCACTGGTATCGCAATGTATTGCGCAATTTTCTTAGATTGAACAGAGAGAGAGAGAGAGAGAATATCTAATCAACTTTTAAGCTTGATTCATCTCTCACACATACTACAATTACAGGTTGGAGGATATAGAATTGATATTCTAGCAAATTAATAATTATCGTAAAATCGTTTTCTTTTTTTTTACACCTGTCTTTTATATTGCTACGTTTGAGATATGTTCTATTTTTTTATAGAAATATAAAAAAAGCTCCACTTAATAATCCTCGCCAGAGCACAGGCAGTAAACAGTTCCAGAATTATAGTAAGCTACGGTAAGATTATTGGATGGGATGTAGAATTAAATACAGCCGCGTGTTTTACCATAAAGATGCGGCATTATTTGCTTCTCACTCTACTCGCGCCTCTAACCCCGATGATGTACGACTCCATTTTGAATCCTCTTGTGCGAGTATAAGCATTTTTCTGGAATTGAATTGTTAGAAGTGATCCAGGAAATGTTTTCGAAAAATGTCAGGAGACTGTACCGCTTTAATACAGACATCATTAAGTGCGGTGTACATAAATGCTCGACAATTTCAGACATAACGTCGAAAGAGGCAGTTGGAAATCGTACAAAAGTACAGGTTAGACATGCTCTAATATGCGACTTTTCGCATCCCTAAACGGATCGTCCAAAAGACGTATAAAAAATATTCGAAAGATTACAATCTTATATCTTTCGAATATCTTTGACGTTGTTTGAACATCCCTAATATTTCAGGTTACATATTCTAATCGATATTTGCAAAAAGAAAAACCTGACTCTTAGGTGTATTTACAGAGATTTGACAGATACACATATTGCTAGTTTACAAGATATTTTAAAATAAGGGTTGACAACAATGATTGCTTTCAAATGTTTTTCTTTTTTATTATCACACTTATAATATAATTTACAGTAGGGTCTACCTAGATTAGGTATCTACAATTCTACACAAATATGTATTGATCTCTATACTTAGGGATGGGTACGCGCACTCCGAAAGATGAAGGATAACATCTTTGTTGACATTTCCGATGGATCGAGCTGCGAAATGTTACAAGTTGTTATACCAAAGACTCTTAAACACGATAATGTACGTTACGGGTGTAGTATCAGCGCGGAAGGAGAATTAGGCTTAGCTCCCAGTGGTAAAACCGAATTACGTGCGACTAATGTTCACGTAATCGGTACATGTAATGTCGCAGAAGACGAATATCCTTTTGCACCGAGAAAGAAATATGATCAAGATTATGTCAGACAGTATTTACATTTGAGACCAAGAACACGTAGCTTCTCTAGTTTATTGAGGCTACGTGATCTTGCCACTATAGTAATTAATGATCATTTAAGAGATAGGGGGTTTATAAGTGTACACACACCAATTCTGACATCCAATGATTGCGAAGGTGCGGGTGAAGTGTTTACTGTTAAACCACATTCAAAAGAGATTTTGAAAAATATGAGAAAGGAAGATCAATCAGAAGATGAGATTTATTTCAATACAACTGCTTTTCTTACTGTTTCCGGACAGTTACATTTAGAAGCTGTAGCAAGGTGATTAAATTCTCTCTGATATATATCATCAATATCATATGTCTTTGTATAGTTATGCTAAATTATGGAATACTAATGTACTGCTAGAACTTTTTCAGAGCTCTCACGAAAGTGTACACTTTTGGACCCACATTTAGAGCAGAAAATTCTAAATCGAGATTACATTTGTCAGAATTTTATATGCTAGAAGGAGAGATAGCTTTTATTACGCGTATTGAGGAATTGATAGAGGAAGTTGAGCTTTTAGTAAAAGAAGTTACTAAGCGAATGATTGAAAAGGGAGCTTCAGATTTGTATTCAATTGGTGCCCCTGAACTGCGGTGGGTGAATAAAACATTTGGATGTTTAACATATGAAGAGGCATTTAATGTATTAAATAATCACGCGAATCAGTTGCAACAACCCGTTAAATATGGAGAGGCGTTTTCAAAAGAGCACGAATTATTTTTAGTAGAATATAATGACGGAGTACCAATATTTATTATAAACTGGCCAAAAGACATTAAATCGTTTTATATGAAAGAATGTACTGATGATTCATCTAAGGTGAGCTAATAAGAACAAATAATGTGCAACTTTCAACAAGAAACGTATATTTTTTCTTGAGTAAAAATATCTATTTTATATGAATTTTCTTATAAAAGGTAGCAGCACTGGACCTGTTAGCACCAGAAGTGGGCGAAATGGTAGGAGGCAGTATACGTGAGGATGATTATGGGAAATTAGAGTTAAAACTACCTTCTATGAGAAATCTTTCATGGTATTTAGAGTTACGTAAACATGGGAATGTACCAACAGGTGGTTTTGGAATGGGATTTGAAAGATTCTTGCAATGTGTTTTGGGAATTAATAATATCAAGGACACTGTGCCTTTTCCCAGATGGCCGCACAATTGCAATTTATGAATAAAGATTTCAGGGCTGTTGTATTTTATTTAATTTATCCCTATTGAAAACAAATGTGGCTGTATATTAATATAGCACATTTAAGTAATAATTTTTTGGATGGAAAAACAATGTCGAATATGTTTCTAAAAGTTAGTCTTCTTTTTTTAAATTATCTTAAAAATGCAATTTTATTGAAATAATTACTTGAAATGAATGTAATTGAGAGATAATCAAATTTCCTCTTAATATTTTTTAAATAGAATCTTGAAGGGTAAAAATCAATAACAACCATTTAATCTTGAATGCATAGTTTATTGAATATGAAGACATTATAACAACAAAAGATTAACTTTTTATTAATGTCTTTATTGTGTTTGAAGTGTCTTACGAATTCAAATTCAGGCCTTAAATATAGTTTTGAAATTATAAGTATCATAAAGGATATTGTAGAAAGGTTAATTAAAAAGGAAGTCAAACCTGTAGTAAATAAGTCTTCTTTTATACAACAAAATAATGTTCTCTAATAGAGTAATAGTAGTCATTTTCCTTATCCAGTATCGTCGTCATTGTTTTTCCGTTGGTGATTTGTGTATATATTTTACAACTCATCTATCACATTATTTGTACATCTTAAAATGAATCAGGCAATCGTTATTTCGTATAACGAACTTATTGGGTGTATTCGTTTTTAAGGGTTTGTCGTGTTTCGTACAAGTACAATTGTACTTGAAGTTTCCAGAGTGCAAATCATCATCAAACTTTTACACAAGTATAAATGGTATACTTGAAGTTTTCAGTGAGCATAAATTATCAAATTTGCAATAATTCTCCCATCACAAAACACGATTTTACTTAAAATACACTCACTCGCGCGGGAATGCTCTACTATATCTTTCTAAATTACATAAAATATATACAGTTCTGCGCTTCTTTTTCTTTTTGCATTCATCAAAATGTTAATACTTAAGGTACACTCACACGTACTTACACGCATTTTACACATTTTTAACTTGTACGACGTAACGTTTATTCCGGTACTAATTATATAAAAGTAAAGGATCTTTTATCGTATTTCTAAGTAAATCGTGCATAAAATCTATATAATAAATTTAAACTAATTTGCAAAGTTAATTTAAATTTGTTTACAGATCAATTATCAATAAATTTAGACAGAACCTTTACACAGAAACACCAAGATATTGGTATAATGTCTAATACATTGCTATTTTGTCTTTGTAAGATATTACAAAATATCTTACAAAGATAAAATACCAGTGTATTAAACAAAGATTGAAAAACATTGTATAAGGATGATATTATCATGTCGTACAAGTTGCACAAAATTACGATGTACAAGGTATAAATAAGCTTAGAAATACATCTTATGATCTAAATGTAAATCTAGCACTTTATACACTTGTATCATTTGAATTCATAGAAACTTACTTGATGAAGTTTTGTACACATATTATTTACATAATAGAGCAGAGTCCCGACAACTCCTGCCCTTTCTCCACAGGAGGTAAATTTGATAGCTTTCTACCCTGTAAACTGGGTTTAATAGAAGCTGGTACTAACGGTTGTTCCGCATTTTCCTCTACAGGCGTCTCGACCTTCCGATTCTTTATTACTGTTAAGTGGTTTAGTGATATTGATCTTAATCCGCGATGGAGCTGCTGGTACAAGTGCTGGTGTCGAGTCTAATTCTACATTTCCATCAATGGAACTTTTCACTGCAGCGTATGTCGTATCTACGGTACCCGATTCATTCACAATTTGTTCGGGATCTAATGGAAATAAAATATTATAAAATCGTCTGTATGTGTGTGTGAAATAGAAAATTTCTTTATAGTAACTTAAGATGGATAAAGATGGATACCAAATATACCTAGTTCGGGTTCGGGTTCAGGATCCATAGGTTCCTCTTTAATCTGGTGATCCAGTTTATCCAGGAAAGCGAACATTTCGCTATTATCTTCTTCACCAATGTCGTCCAATGGCTCCTCTTTAATCTTAATATTTTCGAACGGTGTGATTACACCTTCGCCCGGAGATTTCTCTTCTTCATTCATCATAGGCGCGTTTACCTCAGTGTCTGCTGTAACTGTACTTTCTTCGGCATCTTCCGTCTTTTCTTTATCTTCTGTTTCGTCTTGCGTAATTTCAGAATTCTCTATATCAGCAGGTTTTTCTTTAGTTTCCAATGTAGCAGTCTCTAAGGGACTTTCTTCTATTTGTTCTAAATTTTCCGTAAGTTCAAGTTCCTTATTCGACATTTCTACATTGGATTTCTCCTGTTTAAATTCATCTCCGGGCTTTTCTTCGGAACACTCTATTTTACCTTCCTCGATTTCCGAGACTGCCTCCTCAAGTGCCAAGGCAGTTTTTTCCAATGCTCTCTAAAGTTTCAACAATAAATCAGAATTACAAATCATTATAATTTTACTGACTTAATGATGATAGTGACAATAAAAATAGGATTAATCTGTTCTGTAACAATCGCATAATAGAAAGTTTGAGTTTACCTTCATTATGATTTACATTATAATTGATTAGTGCAAGTGAGAACAATTACATAATTAAATGTAAACAAAGATAATTTATGAAAAATATTCATTGTCAATTTTTTTTCTTTTTTAGATGCATTGTTCTTGTGCTTGTACACATACATATCTATTTATTATAGAGTAAAACATAGTATATAACATATATAAGAAGATAAATGAAATTAATTTCTTGTATACATTATAAACAGATATGTATGAACGGAAACAAATGTGCCATAAATATGAATTAATGAATCACGTACCACTAGACTTTTTTCCTATTTTTGTAAGAATGCAACAAACGGAAATTTCGTTAATGAAATATAATATCAACGTATCAGTCGACAAAATTTAAACTTACATATCCAGAAGAATAGAGAGAGAAACCAACCTTGTAATCTTCCAGACAGAGTGGATGATAATTCCTTTTTTCATAATTAACTGCTGGTCTCAAATGCCACTCTTCTTTTTCCTCGTTATAAAACTGTTCGAATGCGTCGTGGCATACCTGGCATCGTGAATCTTCGTCGCTGCCAGTCGGTACGCTGGGCTGCAATGTTTCCTGAGGCGTGTCATCAGTAGCCATGCCTTCCGTTTCCGCCGTCTGTTTTTCAGTCTCGAACCAACTTTGAACTAAAGGAAAAAAAGATGAAAAAAAAATCACGGATCTCTATAGATTTAAAAGTGAGGAAGATATTGAGTCAAAATCATTTGATTCAACACATGATTTTTGATGGCTCCAAAGACTTAGTTTGCTCCAATATCTTCTTGTTCGCCTAAATATCATTGTGTATAATTCAATTAATTAGACATTAAGTTCAACTTGATGTCTTTAAATGATATATCTATCCTACATTAATGAGCAACTTTACCACATATAATAACATGAACCACACACACATAGCCAAACATACATATCTCATAATAACCACTCTCACTTGCTTACTTATCTCTCCTCTAATACATTGCTGTCTATGTTTGAAATAATATTTTATCATAATAATTAGACATAAGCGTTTATGAATGATTAAAATCATTTGTTTAATAAATCACTAAAAACACTATAGTTGTAAAACGGAAGAATTATCTCTTTATATCGCGCAACCAAAAAAAAAAGATACAGACCTCTATCCTCCAAATCTTCAATTTCTTCGAACTGTATCCAATCACTAATATCGTAATACCATGGCCGAGAATGCGCTTTTCTTGCGGAGTCTCGTTCGCGCCTGTTTTGTCTGAAATGCCAATCTAAATGGTGGCTATATCGAGTAGCCAATTCAGGTGCAAATCTTGCACCGCAGGAGCTGCATTGCATACCGCTGTACAATGCTGCGGCGATAGCTGGTTGTTTGCTATAAAAAAATCGGTGTTTGATATTTAACATTTCATTTTGTCTTATTCTGAATAGACAGTATACTCTGAAAGACGAATGTGATATTGATAAATGTGTGATGACTTACATTTTAAGAGTCTCTGGTTTATCGAAGGAGACTGGACTAATTTCGGATTCTTTCTTTTCTTCTTCCTCCTGTTTCTTTTGTTCCATGAGACTGGGAACAATGCCAGTTTCGACCAGTCTTTGGAACAATTCATTCATGTTCAGCGGCAATGTCGGTGCTGGTGCTGGCGGATTTTCCACGGGTTCGGCTTCATAAGATAAACCGGATGACGGCGCCATTGCTGATGGTAAAACTGACGACAATATATCTAATTGCAAATCTGAAAAATTGATAATATTATGGAGGTGAGTATTATGTTAAATGGGAAGAATTATAATAATACAAAATAAGAATACACAAAGAATATGTGATAAATTAATTTTTTACCTGGTTTTGAAGTCGAGGTGAAATCTGAACCATCTTGTGACGTAGATTCGTGTTCTACAACCGGCAATTGGCTTGGTGTAGGTGCAGCATCCACTTTCGGTTTTTGAGCCGTCGTTGGTGGCGACTCAGTAGGACTCTCACCTTTCATTCCAGTGATCTTAACATGACCAGCACGGACGCCTCTGGGTAACACTGAAAACCTGATGAAATGCTTTTTGTCTCTGACAATAATAGGCTTAGGTAATCCCCCAAATTCGACTTTGAACGGTCGTCCATTCAGAAGAACCGTTTGCAACGCATCTGTAAATTCCAGCGTATGAGGTTTTCCCTCAATTTCAAATCTATAAAAAGCAATGTATAATTATATAAGTACATTTGTTATTTAATTCCTCGAATAATTCGTGTACATTATAGAAAATTGTACTTACATTTGCGGTTTCGCGTCCAAAAATACTGGCACCATATTTCGCGCGTTGATGATAAGATTAATTTTCGCTACCACGAGATCCGTTCTCTTCACGGTACCGATCTTGACTTGTGGAGGAGGACCCTCCAGTTTTACACTAACTGTTTTACCGCCGAGTTCGATCGTTATGGGCATACCGCCGAAGTAACACTCGTACCAACGATCGTCGACGTACAATTCACGAGTAGGTGCACCTAGTTTGATTCTAAAAAGATAAAATTTACAATATTATTATTTTTATCGTTGGAATACTTAGAATTTAGTTCACATTTAATTCTCGAAAATTAGGACATAACATACCTATGGATTTCTCCCTCGTACATAAACTCCTTGTATTGGTCGTTAAATGCACATGTAATAGTGTCTTTGTCGTCGATTAATATTCTTCTTATGCCGTCCTGGAAACCGATCTCTCGCGGATCGTCCCAATTCATGAACACTACACCTGTCTGTCCGTAATATCGAATTTCACGCGGTATATTGTCGATGTTTATGGATTTCATGGTATCTCTCGCTATCTCGGTCAACAATTTTTGATCTGGTGGCGGCAATTCACGACTATGCGATCCCGAGTTTTTCACCGTTGTGCCGCCGTAACTTTGATCGTTATCATCGTGGTCGTATTTAGTGGATGCGTTCGGCGATAAATTTCTACCAGATGCTAAAGGTGGTATATTTGAATTCGTCATGAGATTCGTCATTGGCCCGTTGTTCATCATCATCGCGGGATGACATCCCATTGCCATAGGAGAATTTGGCATGGGTCCCATCGGTCCCATCGGACCGTTTGGCAAAAGATTCGACATGATCGGACCGTTAGGACCTATCGGACCACCCATCATACCGGGTCCTAACCGCGGATTGGGTCCCATATTGTGATTGAAGCCGCCGTGATACTGGTAATCTGGTCTCATCGGTCCAAAGTGTCGCGGATTTTGCCAAGGCCCAATCGGTCTTATGTCCGGATTAAAGTGTCCTTGCGGTCCGCCATACGGTGGTCCCGGTGGATGTGCCCACGGTTGTTGCCACGGCTGATTCTGCCATCTCGGGCCATTAGGATTTCGCGGTATCGGATGCTCCTTGTTCCGTATCATCTCCTTGTCGTTGGACGGACTGAATGTCGCAGTGCGATCTCCGGTACCGGACACGATATCCATATTAATACCTTTCTCCCATATTACAGTGCCACCTTCTTTCTCTTTACGCTGTGCGGCTCGCAATTTTCGATCCTCGCTCATGTGCAACACTTCCTGTATCAAGGTGTTATATTGCGTTTTAGTAATCGATCCTTGGTTTAATTGTTCAGCGGCTTGCTTCATTATAATTTCGATATTTCTATCGTCGTTTCTCTCAGGCTTATCATTCTCCCGACCTCGACGCCCTGATCTGGCATCTTGTTCTTCGTTCGATAATGTTCTTCTTCTCTCTTTAGGATCATCCGGAAGCTTGTTATAGAGCCTGAGACGACCCAGTCTGTCCCTGTTACGATCCCTCTCGCGTTTATCATCGGCGTTGTTAACTTGCTTATCTCTCTCATTTTTTGGTGGCGTTTTCAACTTCGCCCAGCTATCTTTCCCGTCCTCCCCGGAAATTACGGGCGGTGGAGGCGTCGGAGGACGACCGGCTTTAGGATGGGTCAGTGTACGCAGATCTACGTCTTCATTACCAAATAGTCTGTAAAGTTAAAAAAGATTATATATATAATTCACGGATTATTTATTGTACGCACAAGATTTATAAAGCAAACCACACTCAATAATACAAGTATAATAACACATACGCATCAAACTTTTCAGCCTTAGTTTTCTTAGCTGGAGATGATTCTATATCTTCGCTGCGTCTTTTACTAGTGTTAACAGGTGGTAATACTCGTAGATCTAAATCCTCTTCTGGAAAAGAATTCAAGATAGAGTAACTTGTGTGAGATAAATTTGTTGTGTAATATATTACCTTAAAATATTACCTTTAATATCCTTAATATTAACTTAATGTTATTTAATATATGTCCCCCTAATTTTTTCACTTTAGAATTAGATTTTTAGAAAATGTTCTCCAAATGAAAAAATGCATTAATAGATTTTTTACCAAAATTATTGAAATTATATAATTACAAACAAAGAACTTGACGCAAAAAAAATAAGTTGAAAATATTATACTTTTTTTTAAAGATATCACCTGCTATAGTCTTGCAATTGCTACCAGAGACGAGGCAAACATTGTAGTCACCTTTATGAGAAAATATTCAAGACAGAATTTTTAGCAATAACTAAAGAAAGCATGTATGTGAAAATTTTCAATATGCTCGCATGCAAAATTGAAACAGATGATAAGAGATGTTCATGAATAGTGTATTACGACGATGTGTTATGTATATAGAAATATAAGTATATTTTTTGTTAAACGCTCTTGTCGACTCACTCTTTTCGGGTATGGAAACAGTAGTGCCAGGTAGAGACAGTGATGCTCTGAGATCTTCATCTTTACTAGAGGATTCCAATGTTGGCTCGGCAGCGATTTGAGCATTTCCAGCACTGGCTGGGGAACGTTCCGGACTAAGACTGTCATCTTTATTTCGTCTTACATAATTTCTCTGTCTAGCATTCGGTCTGATTTCTTTGAATGCTGGTGGATGAGGAGGAGATACTATCAGCGAACCAGATTGCTCCTCCTCAGTAACACCACCAGAACTGCTCAAACTTGAACTCGATTTTATATCATTACGCCTGGGAATTCTATATGGGGGACTTGGACTACGTTTTCTGGATTTTGTATTCTTCTTGCGGTTTTTAGAGGCTTGGAAGGAGGATTGTGGAGAAGTACGTGAGGACGGTGAACTGTCTCCGTTGTCTTTCTCACGAGATTTTGACCTAACTGGACTAGAGTCTCTGTCGACTTTCTGAATCTTACTTGGACAGATCTGCGGCTGTTTAGATCGCGACTTATTCCCTACTTTCCTATGCGAGGATTTAGAGGAAGTGGAAGATTTATCGGCTGTCGAAGACGAAGAACCGCGTAACGAGTTCGAGCTCTTCGAGTCTTTCGACTTGTTGGAGTCACCACCTCCACTTCCTCGATTGCTCGCTGACAATATTGAAGACGAACTATTATTGCAAACCGATAAACCTTGACCGATTTTGGAGCTGTTTAGGTTACCACTACTATTACTAGTCAATCGAGGGTCTTTCTTTTGACTTGTTCGATGCGAGACAGCATCTTTATTTATATTACCACTAAAAGTTTTATTATTACTATTGTTCAGATTCGTATCAGCATGATTGTTATTAATAACGTTTAATAACGTCGGATTATCGGAACCGGCGGGACTCGCCGGAGGCTTGTTGACAGTGCTAGTTACAGCCGATTTCGAAGGTAACTGCTGCTTTAATTGGTTTGAGGTTACAATTGTATTTGCGACTGGCTGCGTTTGACCTTCACTCCGTGATTCTTTCGGACTGGTCGTACCCGGTCGTTGTCGTGGATCTATTGTTGGTACTGTTGTCACATCCTGAACAGCAGGAGTGGGTTTCAAACGTGGATCTCGTGAGACTGGCTTAGCTGACGCTACTGCTATACTACTAGCTGGTGCAATTCGTGGACCGCTGTTTGCTCCTGCATTCTTTAAAAGTGACGCAGCTGCTGCAGGGAACTAAACAAAATAATTTAATAATTAATCATAACAGCTGATATCCAGTAAATGGATAATTGTTGTGTTTATATATATATATA